CCCCACCCCTCAGCCCTGCAACCGTGGGGGGGCCAGGTTCCTGCAGCTGTAATTTCCATGATACCCACACTTCTCTTTCTACCCTTTCTGGTTAACAATTCTTAACATTAGTCTCTCTGTTGAAGTAAGTGCTGGGTTTCTGCCCCTACTGGAGCTGCTAGGAACCGGCCATGCCACCTGGCATCTCTCAGGGCTGCCCAGCTTGGGCAGTCTCCGTCCACCCGCCATGGAGGGGCGCTAAAATCCTCATAACCCACAAAGTGTGGCCCATGAGCCACCTACCATAACACCTATTCCAGGTTGCACCTGCACAGGATGGGAACATTTTTTGCAAGTTCCCCAAGTGTGGACCTCTGTGCCTAGCATGGGGTGGGGACTTGGGGGCGCACACTGTCCCTACCCGGCCCCATCACCAAGCCTCAAAGGGAAGGAGGTGCCCCAAGGCTCCTGAGCCCCTGACGGGCAGTGACTTTACAGTGGCTGGCAGCGGCCACACGTCAGAGGGCCTCCTGCCTAACGTGTCACGTCGTGTTCTTCTTGCCGAAGTCACAAGATATCTAATACCCGCAGAAGTGATTAAAAATAAGCCAAGAGACAGCGAACCATTGCGACTGTCCTGTCAGCGGTGCAGAGGGCCTGCGTGCGCTGTCACTGCAGGGACTGCAAGTCCCTCTTCCTGTTGTGCTCTTTGCCGTTGACTGACCACGAGAAATGAATGTTCTGCTATTTTCCTATGACAGCTTCAGGATTTATCACCTTTGAAAAAATACAGCAATGACACAAACTCACCCCAAACGGGACTTCAGTCAGGGAGGGCGGGAGAGAAGGAAGGACACAGAGGACAATGAAATGTAACAACGCAACTGAGCCCTGAAATGAAACAGCCGTGAGAAGCAGGGCATCCTGGGGCATTCTGGGAAGTGAAGAGACATCTGTGACCCAGACTCCCCTGCTGAAGCCAATACCCAAACCGCATGCATAGCCCAGGACCGGACCTTGGAGGCTGATTCCCGAGACAGAACTTCAGAAAACAGCCAGCACACACCTCATCCTGGCTCGGGCCTTCCATGGCTCCCTGCTACCCTTGGGCCACAGGCCCAGCCGAGCCCACCCGCGCCTGGAGGAGCTGGCCCCTGCCTGTCCTGCCAGCTCCCCGGTAACACTGCCCCTGCACCCCAAGGCTGCAGCCACCTGCCCTTCCTCCTGCCCAAAGGACATGCCCAACTGCTCTGGGTCTTTGGAAGTACCATTCGCTAGGACTCCCAGCAGCCGCTTCACTCATGCATGCCCTCAGGGAGACGCTCCCCGGCTGCCCCGTTCTCTGCCCCAGACTCTTGTCCGTCTTACTAGGAACTCATCCATCGGTTGTTGCCCTGTGGGTGGTCTGTTACCTGTTGTCTGGGGACTCCTTGGAGCTGTTGTGTCAGCCCCCTCCTCCTGGGCTCTGGTACAAAGGCCTGGGACACAGACGTCCCCTCACTAAAATGTGCTGAATGAATGAGTCACACCCCCTGCCCATTCCATGCCTACTCCCTCCAGTCTCCTTCCCCTGCCAGCAGCCCCTGCTCCCCTCAGGTCCCAGGGGTATCTGACTCTCCGGGATGAGAAGCATGCAGAGCCGGGAGCAGGGACTGGCAGGTCGGAGGGCACTCAACTACACAGGGTGACCTTGGCTCCTTCCTCAGTTGCCTGGGGTCTTGGGTAAACCCTGTCTGCTCTCAGCCAGCTCAAAGCAATCAAAGAAGTAAAATCATTTGAAAGTCAGAAAAGGGAACATAGTTCAGGAAAAATAGGAAAGAACAAAAAATTCCTTCCACATGGCTTGGGATTATTTAAGGGCTGAGTTCTTAAAAGGATAAGGCCTGACTCAGCTCAGGAACCCTGCTCCCGGGACGGCGCCCACCCCACAGAGAGATACTGAGGGATTCTGGAACCTTCCAGAGCCGCTGCAGAGCCACAGAGGCAGAGCTAAGCCCCCGGCAACTCCGAGGCCTCTGGCACATGGCTGGCTTCGGGCATCTGCTTCCAAATCATGCCAAGGAAAGGAGAGGCCACGAGAGCCCTTCCTGGAGATGGACGTGGTATCAGCTCCAAGGGGAGTGATTTCCCACTGTGCTTCCTAAAGTGCCCCAAAGCCCAGCCCCCAAACCATTCTAGGGCCAAGAGAGCCTCCTTTTATTCCCAAACTGAGCGGCTTTGGCCCACCACCCCGGGAGCCTCCACCAGGACCCCAAGGATCCCAGGCCCTCAGCCCCGGTTGTCCCTAAGGGCCTCACAGCTACGGTCCTAGCTTTTGTTCTGGAGGTAACTGATGATAAACACAGCACCTGTGACTGAAGCAGGCTCTACCCCCAAAGAGGCAAAGGTCTGCCCTGAGGACACACAACTCCTCCTCCCTTATGCTCGGCTGCAGCCCCCGGGGTTCTGAGAGCCCCAGTCTCTGATATTCTGTAAACACCCCTGCACCTGGAAGAGACGGCCATGGAAACAAGCTTATTGCCGGGGTGCAGTGCGCAATACGGACAGCTCCTTCTCTGACCTACCGGCGGCTCTGCTTTGCCCTTCCCATCAACAGCTCCAGGTCCTGGCTGGCCAGCCCTCCATGCCCCTGAGGCTCACGCACATTTGAGAAGCACTAGCTTATAGGAATCAGGGTTAAGACCATTTTTCACTCTCCTGAACCCATCCCGTTTCTATAGTGTTGAGGGTTGACAATGGCAGCAGGACACTCTGACCCGCTACATATCTAATGTTCAAAACGGCCAATAAAGATGACTGTGTAGACCCCCCACATCCTCTCACATTAAAGCAGTGCTGAATCACGTTGGGGTGTCCACCTGCACCTTCACAGAGAAGTCACCGAGAAGAGAATGGATGTGTATATGATTGTCCAGGAACTCTCCAGAAGGGAGCCGAAAGGAAGGGCCCCTCTTACTCATTTCTAATCACTGAAGAAGAATGTCTCACTATGGAAAGAAAATCTGTGTCTGCTTGATAATATGTTATAAGGACAGGAAACTGCTTCGTGTATCATGGATGTTTCCAGAACCCTGGTTCCTATTAATCCAAGAAGGCACCTGTCCTCAAGTCAGTATTGTTCCTTTGAAAGATATGTTGAAACTTGTGTTTGGTCTGAGGAGTTATGGCTCTGAAGCCCTCCTCCATGCCTCTCTCTGCAAGCCAGGACAGGTCAGTTAAATACCACTATTCCTGGGCAACCAAACGGGAGGGATTTGTGGGATTCGGCATGATAACGTATTTGGGGTTTACAGAGCTGCTTGTTAAAAGGCCCCTTTCACTTTCTTCTTTTATTTAAGATGGTCCTAAACAATTAAAAACCCCCTTCGACATGCTGTGAGATGGCCTGGCATCAGGGAATATTTCACTTCATTGCAAAATGTCCATGGCCCTTCCCTGATTCATGGAGCTGTGGCCATCCTCCTGGGCCCCTCTTCACTCAGCCACCCCTCAGGCTGTGTGTCAGGGGGGCGGCACTTTGCATGGAGCCACAGGGTGCCCAAGCACCCCACATGTCCTCCAAGCACATCACAGACCTCTCTCAGGAATTAGCTCTGGTCTCTACCTGACCCTGGAAATCACCATCCGAAAAACTGCCTCTAACACCCCCTTGTCCAACAGTGCACTGCCATCTTATTCAAAGGCTGGGCTCCAAAGTCAGTGCTTTTCGTGGGGGGTGCCTCCAGCCAGCTTTCCTCCTGGATGTCCCTTGGGCAGGCACGGAGGCAGAGCCCCTGTTCTCAGTAGGTCCGGCACACCTGGATTTCCCCTCGGCTGCAGATGCTGTGGCCGTGTTCAAGGCCGAGCAGCAGGCCAAGCAGGTGGCACGCACCTGGGGGCCACGTTGTACACAATATATGTATCTTTAAGACCCAAATTCGCATTTGGTGGACTGAGGTGCCTGTGTCCTCAGACACTGGGGCCCTAGAACGACCTAGGGAATACTCAACAGCATCTTGCGCCCCCTCAGGGGTACATGCTCTCTGGGTATAGCTTAGAGCACAGCTGGCATCTGTCCTCTGCTTCTTGCCAAGTGTGCATGGTTAACTCAGTTCCCAGACACTAAATACACAAAGTGAAAAAGAGAAAGATGACCTTGGTCTGGCCGGTCTCATGCACCTACGGACGCATTTGGAATAATTCCATCAGAACATGGGATAGGAAAGTCCCTCTGTGATGCCCCCTGGGAGGACACCCTCCCTGACAGTCATCTCCTTCTGGCTAAAATTCCACCATTTGGATGACACAGCGGTTACCAGCTGCCAATCTGCTGACTGGTGCCCCTTTAGGAACTTCCTAAAACATGGATTATAGGCCACATCCTCAGAGCTTTTGATTCTGTGGGTATGGAGAAGGGTTTAGGTACCCACCATCTAAAACATCTCCCCAGAGAATTCAAACTGGCCCACAGTGTGATGAACTTCTGGGTTAAGGTGTTCAAAGGGCACCCCGAATGCTACTATCCATCACTCATACCCTACCACAGTTTATCAGATAAATGAATGTCAACTTGTAAACCAAAGAAGGCATTTGATTAGAGAACAAACTTTGACAAGGCTGGGGGATGTACCAGGGGATGGAGAGCTTCTGGGTGGTAGTGAAGGTTCAGGGGGCCCTACGGGAACACAGAATCCTAAAGGAGGTGGCTGCAGGGCCCCACGGCCGCCCGCCACTCCGCAGGTGCTGGACTGACCATCAGCTCGGGCTCCATAAAACCAAACCAGACAGACAGAGCACATTTCACGATGTGCCCTTTCACTGAATGCACTGAATATGTCTCTATGGGTTTCTTCTCTCCTCCGTGAACATTTCATTTTGAAAACAAGGAAAGTCATAGTATCCAGTTTGGGTCAACCGAAAAACACCAGGCTGGGAAACCACAGGTCATTATGAGATTAAATCTACACGGGGCACTTACCCACGGATAATCTGGAGGTCACAACGCGGACCGCGCTGTGTGGCCGGTACTGGCATCAACTTACCTTGCGATCTGGCCAGTTGTATTTCGCGAAGATGGTGTCGTAGGTGTCCACCGCCCCATCGGTGATGAGCATGATGGCCTGGCTGCAGACGCTCCCTTGTCCTGTGTGGTTGAACTGTGGAAAGAAAGAAGCTCAAGCTAAAAAAAAAAAAACACATCAGAGAGTCGGTAGACCCTTGAGACCTGAGAGCTCCTTGGGCTTGGAACCTCTCAAAACGAGAGGTCGTTGGGCATCAGCAAAACACAACCAATGTAACCAGGTCACCACATTTACGTTGACACATTGGAACTGAATTCAGACAACAAACAGAAGGGGTTTCTGGAAACACACATGGGGTCAAGAGTGAGATTCTAGGACATGTAAACATGGAGAGTGCTGCTTCAGAATATAAACCCAAAGGCACTGACACAATGGCCTTTTAGGAGCACATAAAATGGGCATCACAATATGTCAGGCAACATTTTCAAAATCTAGATGAGTCTGGTTTGCATGGGTCTGACGGTTACAGGCTGTGCTACTTAGCAAAATCAAGATTTTGGACACTCAGAGAAGAAAGTCAGGAACATGCCAATTAGACTAAAAGCCTAACACCCTGTTTCAGGGTTTGTTTTAGATACGTATTTGTTAGCATGTACCATTAGGTATTAGTTTCTGGATGCTGGTATGCAGAGCATGCTGAAACTCCAAGATTGTGCCCCAACTGTGCCAAACCCCAAATTTCATCAACTGTCGGGTGTACCTAGCATGTAAAAGGCTCCCCGCCTTTATGGGTGGTGGCCGGACTGTGGTTGCTAGAGCTTTGTGTCCTTCCCTTGAATGCGGGGTAAAGAGTTCCCTTCATGAATGGTATTGATGCTACAATTCAGAGCAACACCATGTCCTTTAAAAACCCTACAATTATACAGCAATGCTGTGTAGGGCATGGGAAGCACACATGAAGTCTTTAACCTTCAGCAGTGACACGTCCCCCCATCATAATCGGCCATGTTTGTTCATTTATTCTCAAATTATTTACTAAGTGCCCGCACAGGGCTGTGGATGAAACATGAAAAAATTCCTCCCCTCGTGTACTTTATATCTATCTGGAGAGGCATATAAAAATGAAACACGTAAGTAAATTACATTGTATGTTTGATAACAGTGATGCTAAGGGGGGAAAAAAAGACAATATACAAGGGGGATAGGAAATGGGAGGGGGGAAGTTCAGAAAAAAACCAGGGAGACCTCATGGAGAAGGTGACATCTGAGTAATGCCTGAGGAGGTGAGGGTCCGGGGACAGGCTTCCGAGAGGGCAAACGGCCGTGCAAAGGCACTGCATGGGGAAGTGCCAGGCACATCCCGTCTGCTGACCATGACAAGGGGAAGAGGGGAGGCTGCTCTTGGATATGATGCTGGCTCCTAACCAGAGAGCCAATCACACATTCAAGCTGAAGCTTAGCGCTCAGTCTCTGTGCACTTAGAATTCTGGTGTGGAGCTTGACATTACATCTTCAGAGAAGACTATACTTAGTAGGAGGATGGACAGATGGACAGATGGCATGAACTGCCGTGTGGCCACACTGGGACAGAACAAAGTCAACCCAAAACATGTGCAGGTCACCACAGCAGCAACATGCACAGCAGAGTGGGCAGCTCAGTCCGTGTGTCTGGGATAAGTTCCTTTTTCAGAGCATTCTTTTTTTACATTTATAAGATGGGCAAAACATGTTTAGTGGTGGTTGCAACACAGGTTAAACATTCATTATGTTCTGGGCTACAAGTATGAATGTAGTTATCTTTACTAGCCTCTGAGGAAGGTACTATCTATTCCCAGTTACAGGTAGGAAAACTGAGGCACGGGGAGACTGGCTAACTTGCCCGAAGCCACACAGCTACTGTCTATCACAGCCGGGATTTGAACCCTGGCAGTCCAGCCCCAGAATCCACTCCCAGATTCAGCACACTCTGTGGCCTCCCAGTGATGATGTGACGGTCCTCGAGCAGATGGCGACACATGGCAGGACTCCACGATGTTCGGTCCCTTCCCCTGCCTCTTCCTGCCTCCATCCTTTCCAGGCTTGTGGGGACACACGGCCGTCACCAGGGCCACCACCCTGAGAGTGGGTGCTCCTTAAGTCGTGTGCTCTAGGCGCGTGCCCCACTTAGTCCTGGCAGCCACTCACACAGCTCGGCCTTGACGAGAGTCCTTGGGCTAACGAGCAGAAACACCTGAGAACTGAAGCCGTGGCACCGCAAAGCTGTCCACGCGACTCCTGTTCTACCGTCACTGTCGACATAGCTCACCATCCGGAAAACTCATGCTCAAGAGGATAAAAATCGCAAATACCTCCATCATTTATTCCAGGAACTTCCTGGAAGGACCCACCAATTCTCCACCATCAATCATCAAAGGACAATTTACACCTGAAGGCTCTTTGAGACCCTGTCCTAAAAATCTTCCCATTTTCACATCCACAGATCCTCAACTATGATGTTAGTTTCTTAACCAAGCCTCTTCCCTCCCCTCCACCTGAAAGGCCTGCCTTCAACCAGGCGTCATAGTCTCAATAAATGGCTCTGTCCTTTCCACACTGAGACACCACTACGGTTTTATCATTATAGGGCATTTTCTTAAGAACAACCAGCCCTGCAGCCTTGTCTTACCAGCAGACTGTTCTGGGGATAGTCTGGGGAGCCTGCACTGCCCACAGCCTTCACCTACTGAATCAACCCAGCAGCAGACCTCAGAACAAAGGTGATCAGTGCCCCAGGTCACTGACGCTGCACAAGGCAATACAAGCTGGACATCTTGGGGCTGTTGTTCACGCAGCTTGCTGGAAAACATCTTGAAGAAACTCTTCCAAACAAAGGGAAAGAAAGGGAGGGAAATGAAGATATCTGAAAAATGCAGGCTGGGAGAAGGGGCTGCCCTGAGCTGTTTATTTAAAAACATCACTTTCCTCTCTCTGGCTGAGTCACCGGTATTCTCTGCAGCAATCTGCAGTTGGGGAATTTTGAAGAATGCAATTAAATTCAAATGCTTTGATGAGTAATATCTCTTCTCTTCATATTTGTCTAGAACTTTTTTTTTTTTTTGAATAGCAGGAGTGATGAAAGTGGTTTCCATAATAATAACAGTGACAAGGGCCTGATGATGAACTGCAATTAGCTCGGTGGTCCATCAGTTAGCAGCGGAAATTTCAATGCATCCTGACATTTAGAGCATTTGGTTGTGATTAACAGTCTTTGAAATGTCACCGAATTTTATTTAATTGGCTAAGAAGAATTTTAAAAGGTAATCACTGCAAAGATCATATTCATCGCCAAAAAAGATAATTGCAGTTGTCACATGACAAGGTGGATGCTAACTACTGTGGCGAACTGGCTCTGTATTCTTACAGAATCTAATGAATGCATCGGAGATCAATAGCTGGAAGGGTCTTAGAAGTTTATTTGAATGTTCCTTTCAAAGCCATTGGTACAACAACCGCAAGCCTAGTTGTCACATGACAAGGTGGATGCTAACTACTGTGGCGAACTGGCTCTGTATTCTTACAGAATCTAATGAATGCATCGGAGATCAATAGCTGGAAGGGTCTTAGAAGTTTATTTGAATGTTCCTTTCAAAGCCATTGGTACAACAACCGCAAGCCTTTAAGTCATCTGAGCAAACACTGAAACTGAAATGCAGGTAATTGCAATGCAGAATTAACTTTGCTTAGTTACAGGGACCTCTGAACCATTCTAAGCTCCAGCCACAGTTACAGTTTCGTGTGTGTGTGTGCGCGTGCACGCACGCGCATGCGTGAAACAAAAACAGAGACAGAAGTGTCTATGTGTTTGGGAAGCAGCTTTTTATTTCATATTGGCTTGCAAAGGCAGGCAGAATACACAGGATGAGAATTACACCACTTAAAGGTCATGTTGATGAAGTGGAAAATAGCTAACGCTTCATTTTCATGGGAGATTAACCATCTCTGTTTTTTAAAGTGTTTGGCTGTTTAAAAGCCCAATGGCAAAAGATGGAAATGCTTCTCTCTATGGGATAAAAGGGCTCTTTAAAAGGTATAGCACCCACTGTCCACCACTCTGAAGCAGGGACATTTTGTAACATTTTTGTTCCTTCCAATTCTTGCTTTCTGGAATTTGCATTTTGGCCCAGCACATTTTTCTGACTGGCCAGACCCCAGGGGGTTTTTACAGGTAAAGGAGAGCAGGTAGGTATGAGGAAGATTTTCCTGGTTCACCTTGAAGGTGTTGGGAGAGAAACATACCTGCTTGGAGGATACAAACATCTGAAGCCTAAGGGTGTGCTTGGTGAACCCCGACTGCCAATTATACCCACTGGTCTAATCCTGAGCTTATGATATGACACAAAGAGTTTTGGGGTCAATAAGCTAAGCACTGGGACAAACACATTTTAAGAGGTCTGCTCAGTACAGAGCTTCTGAGGCCTCTGACGGGCAGCAGTGAACTATGAGTCTCCGAGAGGGGGACGGAGGGCCCCACCTGGACCCCAGCACCCACACTGGAGGAGGTTGGCAGACCGGTATTCAAACTGGGCATGCACTGCGCAACCCCAGCTGAGAAGTGTCTGCAGACAAAACTGGGAAGTGGAAAGGGTAGGCTAGGAAAAGAAGAGAGGACAGGTGAAGGGGAACAGCTCCTCCTGCGGCTGGCCGGCCAGGGAGCAGGGCCTGCAGGAGTTGAGGCTACCTCGTGCCTCCATGATCATGGAGGTGGCACTTCCCACCCAACCCTGAGGCCGGTGCCGCTGCACCGTGCTGTGTTCTCGCCCTGGTCTCCCCAGGCTGGCCTCATGCGCTTGGGAGCCGCACCACTGGACAGGCTCCCAGGCCTGGTGGATGACTCTGCTGTCATTCTTAAAATTCGAATAACTTTGAACAGGGGGTATGCATTTTCATTTTGCACGGGCCTCACAAATCATGAGGCCAGTGCTGGGGCTACTCTTTTCTCTATTTTATGGATGGAGAAAATAAAAGTAAGATGGAGCACAGTTTCTCAAGGCTGCAGAGCAAGCTCCACCTGAGTCAGGCTTCTCAGCCTCACCCGCCAGACTCCAGAGCCTGCGAACTTCCCCGCATGACGGGCGCCTCCTACCCCTCACTTTTAACACCGCCTCTGCCAAAGAGCAGGAAAACAAGAATTCACTGCAGGGCAGATTTCCAGACAAGGGGCTCTGCAGTCAGAGTAGCCAACCCCTGGCTCTGGACACTAGGCCGTTGAGACCAAAGAGCCAGGTTTTCCCACTGTGATGAGTCCTTTTGTGACACCCCCTCAAAAGAGCCTGCTGGGATGGAGAGCTTAGTGTCTCCGAGTCCTGAGAAGGTGCCTATCCAGGGTTCAAATCAGAGTTTAAAGGTACAGCTAAGCCCTTGGCTCTGGCAAGTTTATGTTTATAAATTATGAATAAGCTGTTAGCAGGGGTGTGCTTCCCAGACACCGAGTGTAACGAAAACGTTAATTAGCTGTGGCTAACAGCCCCTTGGAGAGAGGTGGGGGGAAAGGCCTTGGGTTTATATGGAGGAAGCTGATGCAACACCTTCCGTCTGCATTTTTCTCCCCTCTGCAGTCGCGATGCTGGCTCGGGACTGAGGCCTACATGGCCTTCTGTGTGAAAACTGGTAGGAGTGGTAAAAGAGTCAAGCTTCCATAGAACAGGCCCTTCCCTCCCTGAGCTGAGCTCTGGCAGGGCAGCCCCCACGGCCCCTCTCCCCGCCTGGGGCGGCACGATGGCACCCTCCTCCTGGGGCCCCCCCTGCCTTCCAAAGGGGCCGCCGCCTGCCCATGCTAATCTGCTGGTCATTTCATTCTCTGTTTGGCCTCTAAGCTTTTCCATCCCCCATGTAGCCAATTCCCTGAATTGAACTCCTGCTGCTTGAAATACCTAGAGTGCTTTTTCTGCTTTTAACATCTGAACAGCTATCTCACTGGGACAAGCCATTTTGTGTCACCCAGATAATTTAATGGCCTTTCTGCTACTGCCCTTGTTTTTCAGTACAGCAGCCCGGAGAATGTTGTTGAAAACCACGACAGTTCATGTCGGTCTCTGCTCAGACTCCGGTGACTTCCCATCCCACACAGAGAAAGAGCCCAAGCCCTCACTGGAGTCTCTGAGGCCGCCCATGACGGGCTCCTGCCACCTCCATGAGCTCATTCCCAGCGCTCTCCCCCCTGCGTACCTACTGTCACCCTGGTCTCCTTGCCACACTGTAAACATGCCCAACGTCCCTGCTTCAGGGCCTCTGTACTCTCTGATCCTCTTGCTGGAAGCTTCCTCCTTAAGACATCCACGGGGCTGCGCCCCCTCTTCCCTCAGGCCCCTACTCTAGCATCGCTGCGTCAGAGGGGCGCTCCCTGACCTCCCCGTGTGAAGCGGCAGGTCCTTCTCATGCGGGAACAATGGCCCTATCGCTCTCCACAGGACGACTCACTCCATCTCTCGCTTCCCAGGGGATCTGGGGTCAGCAAATGCCTTCTGTAAAAGGCCACGCAGTAAATATTTTAGATTTTACAGGCCATATGGTCTCTATTGCCATTAATCAACTCCGCTATTACAGTGCTGATGCATAAGCAGGGGGCGTGGCTGCATTCCAATAAAACCTTGTTTATGAAAACAGGATGCAGGCTGGATTTGGCTCATGGGCCATAACTTTCCAACCTTTGTGCTGGAACGTAAGGCCCATTAAGGACCTCCGACTACGTCTATTCTGTTCTCTGGTGTAGTTCCCGTGTCTGATATTAAAAAGCATTCGACATGTGCTAGTGAAATAAATGACACAGCACCTGCATTGATGAATATACTCACAATACTTCCTACCACCTTCCCAGAGTAACAAGAACACAAAAGTCACATGTTGTTCCAGGTTAACACAATTGGATTCAAGGGGCAGAATCGCCAGCTCAGGACCCCCCGAAGTATTTCATCGGATGTTAACAGGTGCTGCTAGAAGAAAGGGTTCTTTGTTCAGAGAAGTGTGAGAAACAGCAGGCAAACCAGGATGGTCCCCCCACTGCAGTACTTATCAGAGCCTTGCACATGTTACTGTGTACTGGGAATTTCCCAGGTGCTAGACAAAAGGGAGGCCAGCTTGGGGCACAGAGAAGCCCTTCTGCCTGTGAGCACTGCCGCAGGGAGGGAGTCAGTGCAACACACAAGGAGAGGTGAGTCTACTCTATGGAGAACTGGCATCTCCCTAGTGAAAAGAAATCTGCATTAGAAGGTGATCAAGTGGCTAAGACACCAGTGGCCCCTGGAGCCACCCCGCAAGTGGGTGAGTCCCCGACCAGACTGTACCCCACGGACCAGCCTCCCTCAGTGGACTTGGACCCAGACGATTCAAATGGCCAGCCTCGCCCCCTCATCTCACGCCTGGACCCTGCTCACTGGCAGCTGGGGCTAACAATTATGCTGGTCCACACCTCAAGCAAAGCAAACAAAACACAAAAAACTGTCTCTTCTCCTGGACACGAGAAAGGCAAATTCAAGAGGAGCTTACATCGCTGAGAATGTTGAAGGCTTCATTCAGAGCTATATCCAGCATCCCGATTCCTTTGGCGAAAAGTTTGTCCAGATGCTCCCGGAAGTGCTGAAACAACAAAGCAGAAAATCCTCCGTTAGCGTCCGTCCCGTCCCGGGAACGGCGGTCCTGAATGAGCAGGTGTATGCTAAGGCAAGACCGGTCTGTCTCAGGCCCCAATGCTCAGAATTTGTTTTTTCTTTTTAAAATCCAAACCGTACAAGCTTATTCAATGTAAAATTTACCTTCTGTATGCATTTCTTATTTTTTAGCTTTGGTTACATTTTAGGAAAAAAATGTTGGTTGAATTCTGATGAAAAGTACTTAATTCATCTACAATTTCTGCCTTCTTCTCCAGTTCCACCTCCCATGACTCTGTACCCTTCTACCCTCTACTTTTTCACTCCTCATCACGTTTAGGACTCTGTGCATGCTGCCCTCCGCGAAGGACCCACTCTCCATCCACTGCCTGGCTCCCCTGCTTTTGGGGCCCCAGTTTGGACACCACCCTTTTCTACCCACAAGTGCCCCCAGACCACCTGCCTCTGTGGCTGGCTTGGAATGCTTCCTCTGGAATTCCTTGAGGGCACTCCACGCTCAGCGCCACCCGGCACTCAGCATTCCAGGTGTGTAGCTGCCTGATTAGATTCTGCCCCTGCTCAAGACTGACTTCCTAAATCAGGGCGTGTCTGGTTGCCTGCTCGGCCCCCACATCGCGGACGGTGCTCCGTCACCATCTCCAAGGGGCAAGGATGAAGCCCGGACCCTAACACAAGCACTGTCATTACGGCGAGGGAGTCACAGGAGAGAAATGAGGAGCCTGAAGGAATCAACAGACGGGGACCTCTTCCCGAAGCAGCCCCAGGGCCCTCCTGGCTGTGTTGGTTCCTGAGCTGGAGGGCAAAGGGAACGAAAGGAAGTGACTGTGGAGCCCACGCGCTCCCTGCTTCTCAACAAAGGGTCAAGAGTGGGCCAGGAGCGTGCCCAGGGACACGTGTGCACTCAATGCCCACTGGCCAAGGCTCGCGTCATCCCTGGCATTCTTTTCCAACTGACCCATCCCAGAGCCATGTATTTTCCACTGAAATGGGCTGCTCTCTTCCCAGAGGCATCCACAGCCTTGTCTGCTGGGGAACCGGCTGAAGGAGTCACCAGAAGGCAGAGGAGCAGAAAGGGTGGGCTCAGGGGGAGGGTGGCTGGTGATCTCCCCCCAGTGGGGAGAGTCTTTGCCTTACAGTGCCCTGGGGCCCAGCCATGTGGCAAGCGTGCCATCAGCATCCAGGTGGTGACACCCGCTCAGGATGCATCTGCTGGAGGACCCCAAAACCAGTCCCAGAATCAGAGGAGACCACAGTGACTGATCCCAGGACATGGCTGATGCTTCCAGACGCTGTTCGGCCTGGGCCCTTTGGGAGGCAGCAGGCCTGCTGGTCAGAAGAAGGGTAAGGGGGCAGGTTCGCTGGCAAACTGGACAGGGATGTTCTGGTGGGCTCCTCACGGTGACTGGGCTTCAACAACATCCAGGCCCAACGTGAATCAAGGCTGGACTGAGGTTGGTCCCTCACCCTGGGGATACTGACACAGCACACAAGTCCCCCTCCCTGGCACCCCACTTCCCTCATGCTAGCCAGAGCGGCCACAGTCATGGAAGCCTGCCCCGTGCTGGGTCCTTAACAAATAACATGCAACAGCCCTGGGGGTTCCATGATCCCATGATCCTGCTGGGCAGATGGGAAGGCTGAGGCCAGCGCTGCACTCACAATCCCACCCCTCCCAGCTGCCTGGCCCTGGGCCTACCCTGGGTCAGCTTCACCCATGCAAATGCCCCCCTTCTTTCTATTATATACCTGCTGCTTTTTGGCAGGGCAAGTAACGCAGGTACTGGCCACAAGCTCTATGCCTGGGCTGTGGCTGAGCCTACAGGTGTTACCAGGTGGCTCAAGCGATCGGGAGAGGAGCGCTCAGGGCCGGGGAGCTGGCAGAGCACACAGCCAGGCTGTCCTTCCTGCCTGATGCTCAGGGCCCAGCAGGAAGCTGTGCGCATGGCATGCCCTCCATGAGTATTTGGTGAACAATTAAGGCATTCACTGAATCTGAGGAAGCCCAGGCATCCTGGCTGCAGGTGAGCAGCGTGGTACCAGAACAGATAGGTCTGCCTTTTCCGAGAACTACGGCCCTCGGAAACCTGACCTGTGGACGGGTGGTGACCACCGGAGGACTTCGAGCCAGCAAAGAAAGTGAGTTACCCCAGGGTGGTCCCCAGAGACCCTACAGGCCAGGGAGCATGAAGACACGACATGCCCAGCACGCAGCCTGCAGAGAGGCTGATCTTTAACAAGCCCCAGGTCCACACTGCAGGGACGGACCCTACCTGGCCAAGTCGGTTCTAGTCATCGGGCATTTCTGTCCACTGCATTTAACTGTGCTCAGTCACATGAGTTTACACAGCATTGTCTTTCTTAATAAATACAGCAACCCCATTTAATTTTCCTTTTAATCTTTGGGTAGCTACGCATCATGTGCAGAAAGACGCTTGAGGACATGTTGCCTTTTGTTATGGGACACTTAGTGCAAGAGACGACAGCACATCCTGGAGTCCCCTCACTTAGCTTTTGTAGCAAGGTCAGCTGTGATTTTGTTTCTCTCTGGTGCAAATCCGGTTCCTGTATTAGATGGAAAAAAGCCTTTCCTCAGCTAAAGGGTTTCCAAATGAGGTCGCAGGTGAAGGACTCTCTGCGTCTCCTCACCCCGAGCTCCCTTTCCTGCCCACAGGGAAACCCGGCCAGGGCGCCACCCTGCTCTTCCAGGCTGCGCTCGGCCCTCAGCCCCACGCTCCAATCACATGACAGAGGTCCCGCTGTCACCTGCAGCGCTGCGGCCCTACTCTGAGCTTCCCTGTCCACTGTGCTAGTCATGAACTACACACGGCTGTCCACATCCAATTTAATTATAATGACCTAAAATTGAAAATTCACATCCTTCGTCACAACGGCCACATTTCAAGTGCTCAGCAGCCCGTGTGGCTAGTGGCTGCTGCATTGGCCAGTGATGACTAAGACGGCGCCCATCACCGCAGATGGTCCTATTGGGCAGCGCTGGCCAGTGGTCTTCCTTCCTCGCCAGGCTCTGCCCAGCACGGGGCCAGGGGACCTGCGGCCTTGTTCCCAGGGGGCATGCACGACTTCTGCCCGTCCAGCATCCATGCCCCTCCTTCTGTCTTCCTTGTCCCTCACTGTCCCATAACTTACATGGTTAGGGTGAGGCTAGCATCTCTCTCCCTCTTTAGACACCAAGGGGCGAGCCCGTTTATCAGGCCTTCCAGCCTGCGGACTCCAACCTGAATTCCTTCCTGCACAGTCGGGCATGCACAGGCCCCAGGCCCTGGGCCTCTACTGAAACGTGTAAGAGGGGAGTCTCTCTCCACCGAGATTGCCGAGAGGCCAGGGAGGAAGCCCAGGGCCACTGGCAGCCGCCTAGCAACTGCCCAGCAGAGCGCACCTGAAGGCAGGCCGGTGAGGCCGAGAGCAGAGCCCACAGTACAGGGGCAAGACAGCGCCAGGCCAAGTGACCGGAGCCCTAGATCCAGGCGGTGCCTAGCTCCTCCGGGTAGGTGAGCCGGCAAATGCGTGTCCAGGCCTGATCAGAATCAGGTGGATTGGGGCCACTTATCGGAAGGACCCTGATGAGCAAGTCCGTCACAGTGACCCTGGCTGAGACACGTGCCCAAAGTCCCCCTGGGTCACAACAATCCTCCTCATCCCTCTATGCCCTGGACTCCCTACCCAGCCGCCATCACTGCGCTGCGTGTTTTCCGTACATTGTGGCAATGCCCAAGCCAGATGCAGCAGCACAGGCGGAATGGCTACTGATCCCACTACCCAGGGCATGGCCCAGTTAGCTCAAGTCACATCCTGACCTCATGCACTGTAGGGCAGACTCTGGGGGCAATGAAGGGGCCTGGCTAACTGCCCTACAGCCTCCTCATCAATACAGATTTCTTTTTCTGTATCTGAGTGTGTCTGCTCTAAGACTCAAAATATGTTATATTTATGCCAACATACCGTTATCATTGCATATAAGCAAGTGGCATATAGACCCCATAATGACCTAAAATTGAAAATTCACATCCTTCGTCACAACGGCCACATTTCAAGTGCTCAGCAGCCCGTGTGGCTAGTGGCTGCTGCATTGGCCAGTGATGACTAAGACGGCGCCCGTCACCGCAGATGGTCCTATTGGGCAGCGCTGGCCAGTGGTCTTCCTTCCTCGCCAGGCTCTGCCCAGCACGGGGCCAGGGGACCTGCGGCCTTGTTCCCAGGGGGCATGCACGACTTCTGCCCGTCCAGCATCCATGCCCCTCCTTCTGTCTTCCTTGTCCCTCACTGTCCCATAACTTACATGGTTAGGGTGAGGCTAGCATCTCTCTCCCTCTTTAGACACCAAGGGGCGAGCCCGTTTATCAGGCCTTCCAGCCTGCGGACTCCAACCTGAATTCCTTCCTGCACAGTCGGGCATGCACAGGCCCCAGGCCCTGGGCCTCTACTGAAACGTGTAAGAGGGGAGTCTCTCTCCACCGAGATTGCCGAGAGGCCAGGGAGGAAGCCCAGGGCCACTGGCAGCCGCCTAGCAACTGCCCAGCAGAGCGCACCTGAAGGCAGGCCGGTGAGGCCGAGAGCAGAGCCCACAGTACAGGGGCAAGACAGCGCCAGGCCAAGTGACCGGAGCCCTAGATCCAGGCGGTGCCTAGCTCCTCCGGGTAGGTGAGCCGGCAAATGCGTGTCCAGGCCTGATCAGAATCAGGTGGATTGGGGCCACTTATCGGAAGGACCCTGATGAGCAAGTCCGTCACAGTGACCCTGGCTGAGACACGTGCCCAAAGTCCCCCTGGGTCACAACAATCCTCCTCATCCCTCTATGCCCTGGACTCCCTACCCAGCCGCCATCACTGCGCTGCGTGTTTTCCGTACATTGTGGCAATGCCCAAGCCAGATGCAGCAGCACAGGCGGAATGGCTACTGATCCCACTACCCAGGGCATGGCCCAGTTAGCTCAAGTCACATCCTGACCTC